GAATTCCAGACCAGTGTGGTCCACAGAGCAAGTTCCAGGCCACCCAGAGCTACAGGGTGAAACCCTGTATGGAAACAAATAGCCTTACATTAGTGTTCCACAAAATTCCATTTGGGAATGCTGATGTAGTGGGATGTACACGGAGAATTAAAGGACAGGGACCTGGAACTCAGTTCTCTCGATTCTCCTTTTTGTGACTAAGAAAATCACTTTCCTTTCCCCTCACTTGGGAAATGAAATAGTGTGGAGAAAATGATCCTTCAAGGCTCATCTTGTTCTGCCCAAAGGCATTCACAGGTAGACCCAGCATCCTAAGCAGCAGAAATAAAATCTAAGATGGATGTACTGATACCCCATAAAAGACACACAAATAATGGAATAAAACATTTTGCTGGCATGTGACTGAAGAAAGCTGGGTACATACACTTTGCAGGAAGGGAGAGACACAGAAATAAAACGCCCAGGTCCCTGGTGTAGCTAAGGGTAAAAAGACAGAGCTGGGAAGTCTCCTTGGAAGATGAGAGACAAAAGGGTGGTCTCTACTAATGGACCTGGCTGGGAGGGGATGTCCCTGGTTTTCAGGGCCTCCTACTTGGCAGAAAATGAATGTCAGAGAATGAAAGACATCTGCCTGGGAAGAAAGATGGGATGGGCCAATTACTTGGACTCCAGCATGCTGTCTGGAGCCCTTGGGAAAGGGGTCAGCACACATTTCACTTTCTGTCAGCCCCAGGGTGTTTAGACAAGATGCTCACATCTGCTGGTGCTCTTGGAAGAGGGGTGGATTCCTCAGTGGGTGGCTTAAACCGTTTGCTTCTTCTTGCATTGGGTGTGATGGGTTAGAGCCCTGGATTCAGCTCATGCCTCTGGGCATTGTCACTTAGGGAAGATAAGAGCAATGAGCAGAGACGCTTATCTTTATAGCTTTTCTGGTTTGATTTATCTGCTGTGTGTGTGTGTGTGTGTGTGTGTGTGTGTGCGCGCGCGCGCGCGCGCGCGCGGGCGCGCGCCTGCGCGCCTACGTACACCTGCCCAGTGTCTGAAGAATGTGTACTTGTATACATCTAGACCACATGACCAGGCCTTATATGTAATCTGGGTTTGCAAAGTATTATGTACCTATGGAGCACTACATAAGGTTTTATTTTATGTGCACTGTTTAAAATGGTGTGTACATCACATGTGTGTGTAGATAATGTTCTGCTTTGTATGTGGGAACCAGGCTTTATTTCACCTGTGCAGTTTGCATATGGATGCTTGTATATATTTACATACCTGTATCACAGGCTGTATCTGTCTGAGCTACTTATGTTCACATTCCTTTGTCTTTAGGGGTGGGATTGTTTCATCAGATTGATGAGCTTACTGAGAGCTTACTGAGAGCAGGGCATATGTCTGTATAAGTGTGTGTGTGTGTGTGTGTGTGTGTGTGTGTATGTGTGTAATATCTGTGGATGGTATTAGTATCTTTGTACATGCCAACGGGCTTTCAAAATACCTATGTATATCTCAATTTCTTACCTTCCAAAACACTTTATACAGCATATCATTGTCAGCTCCTCCCCAGTGCTCCTTGGACAAAGCAGGAGATAACTGGTCATCTTTAATGTGTGAATTCCTGCCTAGTGTGGTTACCTTGGAACAGATAAAATCCATGCATGCTATTAGCCTGTTCATTATTTATTGCAATACAATTTGCTCCCAGGTCCCCAGTGCTGTCCTACTCTTGGGATTTCTCACTCCTGATAGCACTTAGAAAAATGCCTCAAATACTCACTCCTGCTTTCCCTTCCTGCTCTCTCCCACCCAGGCAGCAAGGACAGGACACATCCTACCTGATTTTGAGCCCAGTCATAGGTGTCTCTTTCCTTTTGCTTGGTCTTTTCTGCCTTTCACCCAGATCTCCTAATCCCTCGAAAGACAGACAAGTTTTTCTTTTCCCCAGAGAAATCTGAGGGAGAATAAGAGAGATCTTACTTGGAGGGAATCCACTCCTATTTTATGGAGTTTGGGATTAATGTTCCTCCACTGAGATAACATCTCAACAGAACGAAAGAGGCCTCTGCTCTTCCCCCAAAGAGTTGTTTTTTATTTTTTTCCTTAAGGGGGATGAGGGGTACATTAAATAAACCTGTTTTTAAAAAAAGTACCTTTGCATCAAGGAAATGTGTTATTATTGTAATTGTCTAATGCTAATTATACTTATTACTATAATAAGCATTTTGTTGTAACAAATGATGTAATCCTCTTTATTTCTGTCGCCGCCAGAAGTGAGTGGTGAGTCTATAAGGAGAGGGGGGATTGGGGAGAATTTGGCAGGAGGTGTAGTCTAGGTTCAGTGCAGACAGAAAGCCCCTGAAGCTGCCTAGGAGTAGGAGATGCAGGACAGAGGATAACTGGATCATTTGACAATCCAAACTTGCTGGCCTCTGCAACTTCTTTTTTAGGGCCTTTCCCAGAAGTAGCCAGTAATTCAGTCAAACCTTTATTTATACATTCAGCAAATGTTTTATTTAGTACCTACTGTGTTTCATGTGGTAGAGTCGATTTGCGTGAGATAAAGTAAACCGGATAGCTCTTGACCTGGAAAGGCTTGCAGTCTAGCAGCATACGAGCACTGTTTTCAGAGCCTCAGAGGAAATGTGGTGCTGAGTGGGCCTGAGAGAGCCATGACAACATGTATAGCAGAGGTGACTTACTCCATGCGTGGAAACCTACAGAGCTAGGTCTTTGGGGGAGCCACACAGGAATGTGCCACACAGAAAAGGGGAGAAATCCCAGGAGAGGAATTATATTGTTGGTCTAAAAGCACAGAAACTATTTTGCTGTTGTTAACATTAGTTCTAAAAAACATTGAAAATAGCTTGTATTACTAGCACACTGTTTGAGCAACTATGTGCTCATTCATTTAATTCTCACAACAGTTCTTACATGGAGTGCTGTCGGGGTGAAGCAACAGTAGATGCAGAGAGGGCTTAGATCATCCAGGTCGGGTGACACATGGAATCCTAGCTCCTGTGGAGGCTGAGGCAGGAGGACCAAGAGTTCAAGGATAGCTTGAGCAACTTAGGGAGACTTTGTCTCAGAATGAGAAGGTAAAAAGAAGGTTGAGGATATAGAGCCAGCATGTGCCAGGGACGCTGCATTCAATCCCCAGTACTGAGGGGGGAAAGCTAAGAACCTGATTTGAATATGAATGGCTATTACTATGTTATGTATTTATTACTATTATTATTACTCAATAAAATGAAAAAAAATTGGGTAGTGGGCTGACAAAATGGCTCAGCACATGAGGTGCTTGCCTTCAAGACTCACAACCTGAGTTTGACCCCTGGGACCTACGTGGTGGAAGGAGAGAATTGACACTCCCAAGATTCCTATAACCTCTACACGGGCTGTGACATGCTGTCTCACACACACACACACACACACACACACACACACACACACACACACACACACACGAGTAAATGTAAGAAAAGCTTTTTTTAAGTTTAGTAACTTGCCCAGTTTCACATAGACAGTAAGAAACAGCTTAGCAAGTAGACATTTACAGTTGCACGTCAGTGTAACACATGGCTGAGCAGAGCAGGACCGGGAAGGAACAGGGCTCTGCACAGCTTAAAAACGTCCCCCAAGACTGGTCCTGATGGAAACACCAAACACTAAGCCCAGATAATAGAAAATGCATTTTCCTCTCCAGCATTCCCTTACTAAACTGATCAAACACTAGGTAACAAAGAAGACATCAGTAAGTCAGTCACAGGATGGAGAAACACTGTAGTAAATATTCTCTGATCAGAATACAATGAAACAAGGATAAAAACAACATTTAAAAATACAAAAAGCTGGGTGTCGTGGCACATGCCTTTAATCCCAGCACTTGGGAGGCAGAGGCAGGCGGATCTCTGAGTTCAAGGCCAGCCTGGTCTACACAGTGAGTTCCAGGACACTTAGGGCTACACAGAGAAACCCTGTCTCAAAAAAAAAAAAAAAACAAAATGAAACAAACAAACGAGCAAACAAAAAAGTTTCAAAACTTTTGTCTGGAACCAACATTCTCTTAAACCCTAACAATAGGAATACAATCCAAAGTTTTGTAATTTCTAAGACATAATAATGAAAACACTACATTAAAAAAAAGAACCAGAAGTTGGTAAGAAACAGAACAGTTCTGAAAAGAGACCCAGATTTCAGCCATTTGTGTAATTAGGCTCCAGGTACACGCTGAAGGAGGGTAGTAATTTGTAATGAGATTGCCAAATCATTTGGGTCCAAAATGTAAACAGCCTTGTGAACCACGAGGGGACTTTAACCAGGGGTCAAACAAGATTGGCACTTCAGAAAGGCAATTCCAGAAAGCTAGGACACCTGGCCAGCTCGCCTCCTGGATCTTCTTATCCTGAAGGGAAGTGGAGGGTCCAGGCTCAGCCAGCTGAGCTGTGCAGCTGCCCTCATGCATCGGCTGTGAGACATTAAGGAAGGAGATAGAGAGAGCAACTTTTGGCTTAATAAGCTCCATGGAGCCAAAGCAAGTTTCCAGAATCCCAATACTGGGTTGTGTAGATGTTAATATACCAAGAGGTCTTTGCTTCCTTCTGCGCCAGACACCTCAAACCTCTCTAGCTTTGGTGGAAGCATTGTCCATCTCTGTCACCTCTCTATTTCTAGTGCCAGGCAATAACACACATTAACGAATACATCATGTGAATGCCAGTCACTAGTCCTGGAGTTCAGCCTTGTCCCAATGCTCCCACAAATGAAGATTTCATTAGCAGTCAAAGGAGTCATTTCCTGGTTATCAACAATCTCCTCTCCATCCCATCATGTACACAAGAATGTAGGTATCCCCATCTGTCTCCATATCATGTGAGCACAGTCATCTTACCACAGAGGAGTGCGTTCAGCACAGTAATAGCAATGGGTATCAAGTACTACACACCTGCTTAATGCCGGCCCCCATTCTCCACACTCCACACATGGTGACCAAGGTGGATGAGGAGATTCCACTGCCACCCTCACATTTCAGGTAAGGAAACTGAGCCATAAAGAAGCGAGAGACCTTGTCCATGGTCACACAACTGTCTAACAGAGAACCTTCTTTTTACCAGGGCTCTGAAAGCTTCATGAGCTTGTCCGTTACCTGGAGTCTTGTCAAAATGCACATTGCTACTCTATGCGGTGTCCAACACTGCTGTGTGTATGTGTGTGTGTGTGTGTGTTTTGCTGGAAATCAAACCCAAGCCCTTGCACTTGCTGGGCGGGCATATTACCACTGATTTCATGCCCATCCTTCATTGTTTTCAGTAAGTACACATGTGCTGCTGCCGCCGTCTGTCCACAACACCACAGGCAATGTGGCACCATATCTTATTTGTCACCTCTTCTTAGCAGCCATTTTCTGACTCCCTTTGTCATGAGCTATAAGAGCCATTTCCTGACTCTGTTTTAAATAGTTCTGTTAACCACAGGAGTCACCTTCTTGGGAGACAAAGGGAAATTCCATCTGCCTAGATGTTTTGGCCTGTCTTTGGGTAAAGAACTGAGTCCAAGTGAAGAGAACGCAGTTACAGAGTTAGTTGCTGGTCACGGGCTGGCTTATTTACAGGAGTTACATCAACTGGGTGATGACCACTAGTGGAAGCTCCTGTCTGCCCCTATAGCACTGAAGTCAGAGGTCAAATCAGACCTAGGTATTTAGGAGAAAGTGCCCAGCCTCAGGCCTTCTGCTGTGGTCCATCGATGAACATGCTTCTGAAATTCCCAAGCACAGATGTCTGGAATTCTTTTTGTCAGCACCTTCCAAAAGCTGAGCAAATAACAGCGTATAGAAAGGTGTAGGAGAGGAAAGGTTCATGACAAGAACAGGTTACTATGTTTATTGGCAAGTATTTTATTTTAAGATTCAATCATTTTATCCCAACTCCCGGTCTCAGTGTAACTGCCCAAGGAAAAAGGAAAACACATTCATTCAATGCCTTCTAATCTCACTGCGTTTCCAGCAAAGTATATTGATGAGACATCATTCCTTAGATAATTCTGAAGGCAAACATATTTTGGGAATATTAAAAAATGTCAAATACAAAAATCCAGACTAACTTTTTGTTTTGTTTTCTACTGACTTGGCAAAAGTTAAGCCACAGCTCTTCTGTCTCAGCCTAGATAGCTGGGAGTTTAGACAGGAAGTGGAACCTCTGGTGAGAGCCCCTGATTCTTTTCAAGCAGACAGGTCTAGGCCCCTTGTTCTAGGGCAAAACAATTACAACCTCAGGGTTCTATTATATACAAATTATAGCTCTCCAACAGCTTGGGTTTTCTCTTGGGAAAACCTTAGGAGGTTCATCTCCTGGAGCATTGGAAATTCTGGTCTGGGGTGAGTTAGAGGTGTGAAGGAAGGGATGATAATGAAGTATTAAGGTTTTTGGGTTTTTTCACTTCTCCATCCCTTCCTGTCCTTGAGGCTTCCATACAGCCCAGAACAGCACATCACCAGTTAGCCAGCCATCACTAACCACCTATCTTTAGGCTTTCCCTGTCTTACCCCAGTAAATTTAGAGGAGGAAAAAAAGAATTTTTCATTCATTCCACAACCATCTTTTGTTTTGTAACCCTAGCAAAGTCAACAATCACTATGTGGGTAGCCCTGGGTAGCCTTGAACTTTTGGCAAACCTCACATTTTAAAAGTTTCTATTATAAATAACATATTAGGCTACTTGCTGCAGAATAAGATAAGTGATCACTGTATTCAAGACAAAAAGACCGCCATGTAAAGAGAGGCAACGATCTGGGTGATAAACTTTGAGGCCGAGGAATGCTCAAGATTACAGTGATGCTGCAGCCACAGGGGAAACTTGCCGGGCAGATGTCTTTTGTGGAGTTTGTAAGGGACCGGCCATGCCCTGTCCAGCTGATGAGGTCTGTACTCTGAGTGCCCTCTGCTTGTACCATTGATCTGTCCTTCATTTGTACTGCCTTGCAGGTTTCAATCAGGGGCAGAGTCATGGGGATCGAGTCTTGCCTTTCTCAGCAAGGGATGACCTACCTAGAGGATCATTTCTTACAACATCTAAGGCTGGTATCTACCCACGGGGGCCTCGGGATAGGACACACTGAATCACTTGGAAGCAGTTCCTTAGGGACCTCTGGGGTGAGTCTCCCAACCCACATTCTCTCACCCTGCTGTGCTGACTTTGCAGAGGTTTTCTGAGTAGGCTGATGGCAAGGAAGGGTTTTGCAAGCCTTTGGGTGAGGGGTGGGGAGTGTGTGTGTGTGTGTGTGTGTGTGTGTGTGTGTGTGTGTGTGTGTGTGTGTGTATGGGGGGGAGCCAGAATAATCATTATTATTATCGTTCTTTTCCGTTACTCAGATTAATAATACATACTGAGATTTGTGGGGACAGAATACAGGTAGCAAGGGGAAGCCTTCGGTGGATTTTCGTTTCAACTGTCAACTCCCAGCCAGAGGACATGATTTCATTCGCCCAGTTTGGCTCTGTGCTTGTCCTAGATAGGCCTAAGTGGCAGGTGGGTGGGAGAATCAGATGTTCCTGCTTCCTTTAGCCTGAAGCTTACTCCTAGCAATCCCGGTTGCACTGTTTATCATGTCCTTTATCCCAGCTGCTGGGGATATGGCTAAGCAGCCAGGTTATGTAGATTCCCAGCTCTGATTTTTATCTCAAGCCCTGGAAAAAGAAAACCTCACACCTGACCAAACTCAGTAATAGAAGGTGTTTTTTCCCTCTTCCCTCCTTGGTCCCCTGGAGCTTATTTCACTGGAAGGGAACACAGGTTGATGTATTTTTAAATGGCTTTGATTTTATCACCTTGCTTAATGATTTGGCACGTTATTTATTAGATGGGGAGCTTCCCAGAGGGGCCTGGCCCATTAACGTATAAATAATGTGGCAAATAGTTCAATAGAGCTGTAAAAAAAGTGATTTAGAAATAAATTGACCTCTGTTTGTTACATGTAAACGAAGACTCAGGGTCATAATGTATTTTGTGCCTTTAAGCTGAGATGGTGGTTTGGGGTGGGAAGAGCATGGGGTGGTACAGACATGAGGGTGGGGGATGGGCGGCTCTTTGTGCAACCCCCTTTTCTCTGCTCTGATTGAAGGTGTGGCAGGTGTAATATGGGCTGTGTGGTGTGGATGTGTAGTTGAGTGAATGGTACCAAGCTGTAGACCAGGTCAGCCATGTGGTTGGTGATTCCTGCAGGACACAAATCCCTGTGTGCACTTTTGTCATTATTGAGAAAGTAATGTTTAGCCCAGAAGACTTGGATGGTTCTTGTGTGTAAAGAGAAGCTTGAGTTGTCCTGGGTATATTTAGAGCTTCTTTGATAGAGCTACTGTGTAGTGTGCAGCCCATAATAGGCAATCTGCAAATATTTATTATAAATATGAAACACAGGCCGGAAGTGTGGCTCAGTTAGCAAAATTCTTGCCTACAATGCACAGAAAAACCATGGATTCCATCCCCAGTCATGCATAAAACTATGTGTGGTGGCAAACATCTGTAACATCAGCACTTAGGAGGTGGATACAGGAGGATCAGGAGTTCAAGACCACTATGGCTACATAGCAACACAGTGAGTTCAAGGCCAGTGTGAGATATATGAGACACCCTATCTTTAAAAAAAAGACCAACCAAATAAATAAATATTACCTACGTGTTCACATATATAGTGTGGTTAGTGGAGGGAAAAATGGTACAGACAATTTAGGTAAATAACGACTATTCTAGCTAGCATTTATTGAAAACTTAGTAGGCCCCAAGACATTTTGCTATATACTTTATATTTGTAACCTAATTAAATCTTTAATGTTTTTAGATTTCGGTAAGACACATATTCAGATGAGTACACAAGGAATATGTTTGTAACAAATAATGTGACAGATAGAAGCATAAATGCCTGAATGATAAAAGTAAATAAATGAAAATGTTAGGGTACCAGAGCAGCCTGCATCTCTCTCTTCTGATCATGAGATTTTCCTTTTCCCAGAGATAAGTATCCTGTCCTCCATGAATACCCTGGCTTTTACTCATGGTTTTAGTACCGTGCACAATCCTGTGTTGCCTATCTTGAGAGTTTTGTAAAAATTCACTCTAACTGTTCTCTTGTGTCTTCCATGTCTTATTCAACGACTTGTTATGGGATTCATTCATGTGTGCATGCAGCCGGGATCTGCTTGTTTTCACTAGAAGGGGGTGTATTTTACTGTAGGGAGTCAGGGTGCATTCCCCGTTCTGCTGGAGGGAGCATCTGCCTGCTTCCCAGTTATTACCACTTGGGAGCCATGCTGACCCAACACCTGGGGCATACATCTTGGCACCCGTGTGCCCTTGCTCTGTAGGATATGATCACAGTGGTGGAGTCTCTACACAATAGACTATGTAAATGTCAGGGTTACTCAGTAACTGCCTTTCGCATTATCTTCCAGAGTAGTTGTACTGCCCGCTCTGACCAGCACTTGTGAGCATCTTGGCAGAGCATCCATACCCACTCGCTAGTATCAGAATTTCCTAATTTAACCTTTGTAATGCTATATGATGTTAGAATTATTATTATTATTCCCATTTGCAGGTGATTACACTGAGGCTCAGGGTGTTTAAATTTAAACTGCTTCCTAAATATTTCTCTACATGATAAACAGCAGCAGTGGTGCTTGAATTTCAGCCTGAGTCTATAAATCCACACTTTAATCTTAATGTCTTCCTAATAAGTACTTGAGAGACTTGAGATAAATTATCTAACTTTTGAAGCACATGTAAGTTTGTTAAACATTAATTTTGCTGTTGTTGTTTGTATTCAGTGGCGTGGTCCCCTTTGAGCTTGCTATCTACTTGTGCATTGGCTGGTGGCTTTGGAAGGTAGAGTTGACTGTAGGACATCCAAAAGATATAGACAACTCCTCTGGATACCTCTGTAAAGATAGGTAAAGGAACAGAAAACACGTCCAGGGAACAGTAGGAGCCAGAAAGTCTTTTTTTTTCTGGGCCACCTTAATTCCTGCTGCTGTTTTAACTCATTCCCTCTACTTCATTCTTCCAAAAGCAACCCTTAATATATGATCAAAGGCTCCTTTCTGGTTTCAGGGTATCTTGTTGGTTGGGCAGAGTTTCCAATAGAGTCAGGGCTTTAGGGTGTCTTTCATCCCAAGAGCTCAAAGCCTCCCACAGACATTAACCTATTAATCACCAAGCTGCTTTGTGAAGTTGAGAGCTAGCCCGTGGGTGCCTCCCCCGCTTCCCAGGTAGAGAAACTGAGTCCATGACTTGTCCAGAACTGCCCATGGAGTCAGGGTGGAGCCAGCAAGGAACCTAGGTGTCCAGGGAGATGGGTTCCTCTATTGCCAGTCATCCAGGGCTGCAGTTTTCTGCACATTCAGCAGAAAAAAAGAACTTGCTGGTGAATGGGGAAAGCTGAGGCTGGTGGTGGTTCAGGATATCATGATCCTGTTTTGGTTGCTGAGGAAATGGCCTTGCCCAAGGATCAGGGCCAGGTGTGTGCGCTTTCATGTCTTTAGTCCCTAGACTGCACTTTGCACATCCGAGATCCTTGGTGACCCTTAGTCTGTGAGTGAATCGATGGCTCAATGAAGGTATGACAGGCTGCTTACTTCATTCTTACTAATCCTGGCCTCCTCCTCACTCCCACCATTTCCTAATATCAATCAAGGCTTTGGATGGGAGTATGGGAAGACGAAATTGAGCTTCTCTGGGTTAAGATGAGAATCTGGGTGGAACAGAGAGAAAAGATGCCTTATGTGGGTAGCCCAGGAAGGGAAGAAGGCACAGGTGGAAGGCACCCCAGAGACCCACACTTCTCTTGCCTAAGAGAGTCTACAAATGAAACTAAATTTTAAGCTAAAGTTAGGGATTCTGTGAGTTTCTGTTTCTTAGGCCGTAGGATTCTTCCGGGATAAGCATCTTGAACATAACAGTTATGGACTTTTCCCTCCACTGTACTGGTGGGGCTCTGGGTCGTGTAACCAGATAAAATGTGAGATCTGGGTCTCCATGTATCTATCATCTTTGTGACATCCTCAGTGGGCTCCATTAGGGGGAGCGGTGAATATGTTTCACTCTGTATTCTCAGTGGTCACAGAAGCGAAGATGTGGGTTAAGGTATAGGAATTTCCCTAGGTTATGGTTTCAGTAGAAGATGCCTAACTCAGTACCAGGATGGGCTGGAGAAGGATTTGTTAGAATGTGTCTTATGTGGGATTGATCATGCATATTCCTGTATAGGGCTGTGCACATCTGCCAGTGTGCTTAGCTGTTCTATGTGAGTCTTCATAAGTGGATGCACTAGGAGTGGGGAGATCGCATTTGTGTGTTCTGGGCCCAGTGCAGCTTTTCTCCATCTTGAGACCTTTCTTTCCCCCCACCCCTCACTTGTTATCAGTCAGAAGCTTCTGGAGTATATTGAGATTGGGAACATTCACTCCCAATTTTCCCAGCATGCCTTTGTTTCAGTCACCCATCTGATCCCATCTCTATCCCTGCGCAGGCTTCCCGCTGCCTGCGTTTATCTCACTGTTTTATGATGTCATTTAATTAGCTCGCACACGGTGGTTTTATGGGACAAACATGGCCTTGTTTGCCTTATAACTGGATTTCATGACTCTGTGGGAACAGGTCAGAAAAATCTCAACCCAGCCATGATTGGAACTCAGGAATGCTGGATGGTCGGGAACCTGGGAAGTTTGGGAATCGTCTGACACGGAGCTAGCCCTTTCTTTGATAAACTGGGGAAAAGTCACCTAGCCTGTGCTGCTTCACACTCACAGCATATAAACAAGCCCCTTGGGGAAACGGTGCCAACCTTAGGGATGAGGGGAGCGCCATGTCTCCTGTTGTCCCAATCTTTGCTGCTCGTGTGACTGTCACTCTATTTCAGCCCACTGGCAGAGTGGCCACTCGTAGGGGACTTAGGAAGCCTCCTGAACCTCCACGGTAGGAGAATGAGATACTTGTGTGTGTGTGTGTGTGTGTGTGTGTGTGTGTGTGTGTGTGTGTTTAAAGAGACTCATTAAAATAGAGCTATGGGTTGATGAGTTGGCTCAGTGGGTAGACTGTTGGAACCCATGTATGGAAGGAGGACTAGATTCCCAGGAAGTTCTCTTCTGACTGCTATGGCAAT